TAACATAACAATAAAAAATTTTGAAAAAAAAAAGAGGGTAGATCTCATGTTAGGTGCTCTTGCCACAAGAAAAATTTTAAAAAATTTAAAAGAGGAACTCAGGAGGATCAGAGTCAGTAGTAGATGTGCCAACAAAAGTAAGAGGCTGAAGTGATTTGAGGCATGAGCCGTGAGCTGTGGATTGCAAGTGGCCTCTAGAAGCTAAAAAGGTGAAAAAAATAGATTCCCCCTTAAAGTCCTCAGAGACAATGCATCCCTGTCAACACCTTGATTTTAGACTTCCGACCTGCAGAACTATAAAAGAATAAATTTGTGTTGTTTCAAGTCACCACGTTTGCAACAATTTGTTACAGAAGCAATAGGAAACTAATACATAGATTTTGGGGAAAAAAACCCAAACAAACAAAACACAGGGTGTCCAGTTAAATTTGAAGTGCTGATAGATAATACATTTTTTAGTATAATATATCCCAAATGTTGCATGAGACATACTTACACTTAAAAAGAAATTGTTGTTTATCTGAAATTTAAATTTAACTGAGTGCTCTGTATTTTATCCTAGAAGTGGTGGAGCCAGAGCAGGAGTCAAAACTTACAACTCCCGGGCTCCCCTACTTTCCTCAACAATCTGGGATCTGGCAGAAATTGCCATGTTCTCACGGGCCTCACGGGTCAGTTCCAATCTCCCAGAGCTCCTCTTGCCTCTGAGGTCGGGAAAGGAAGGGATTGTTTAAGGTCATCTCTTGGATACACCTTTGGGCTCCCAGTCCTCCCAGGCCACAGAATTTCTCTCTAGAAATGGTTTTGTGTCTTTACTCTTGCTTGAGACAGCGACCAAGGAGCTTTGTCTCAAAGCCTTAGTTGCATGAAATCCATGTTGGGGTGGGGGTGGGGGTGATGGTGCTGGGGTTTAATGAACTGGGGGTGGGGCAGGAACACCTTTTTTCAAGCTACCACTTTCTGAAGGAGACTTTATGAGCCCCAAAGCAGGACACAAGTAATTATTCAATGGGACTTTCAAAGCAAGAATCATGCTACATATGAGGAAACTGAGGCCTGCGGTCACTCAGCTACAGACAGACAGATGTCCGCTGGATGGGCATCTCCCCCCTTGCAGTCCCCTGTCCCGATGGCAGCTGCGGTGGGAAGAATCCTGGAATGCCAATCCCGAGGTCTAGGTTGGAAACCCTTTACACCTCATTGACTGCCAATTTCCTTCCATGAAAGAGGGGGATTCCATAAATCCCCGAGGATTCAGTAAGACAGTGGATGTAAAACACCAAGTACATGGTGGCATGTTCTAGTTTCTTTCCTTCTTTCTCCGGGGCCTCATTCACCCTGACCCTCCCAACTAGCCTCTCCGCCGGCCGGACTCCTCCAGCGCGCAGACTTGGCCGCTAGGTGGGGACACAGCGCCGGCACTGCGGCGAGATGTTGCACATGCGCACTCACGGGCGGCGACTCGCCTTCCCACGCCCCGCAGACGTCACTTCCGGCGCGAGGGGCCGGGCCGGCCGGGCAGGGAGTGCGGGTCGGTGCTGTGCGCGCTGCCGGACGAGGCTCCCGCCGCCGATAGACCCGCGCTCCGCCCCGTAGCCCGGCCGGTGAGTGCCCACGAGTCCTCCCGTGTGTCGTGGGGGTCGGGGAGAGGGACCCCTGAGAGGGAGGAATAACCGGAAGTTAAGGGACTCAAGGAGAGAGACCCCAGGAAATGGGGACACCTGGGGAAGGGGTGACAGCCGGAAGTGGGGGCCCTCAGAAGGTTGTCGACGGGACGTGGGGTCTCTGGGGCTCCAGGAGCGATGGCTTCCTGGCCTCTTGGTGGGGTGGGGAGGAAAGTGATGTCACAACATGATGGGCTGCAGGTGAGGAAGAGTCCAGGCTCCACGGTAACAAACGGTATTTGCACCCATCCATACGCCCATCCATCATTTCATTCTCGAGACCGAGTCCTGCTCTGAGCCTGACACTACCGAGGCCCTGGAGATTAAACAGGAAGCTCCAGGTGGAGGGTAGGGCCCAGTGTGGGGCTAGACACATCCTCGACTAGGTGTGTACCCTCCGGCACATCACTTAACCTCCTATCGTCCGCTAATATTTACAGAGCACCGTCATGTGCCAGGCTAGGCCTATAGCCTATGGACACTACAGTCTGTCTCCCAGGTAAGCACTGGATTGGGATTACAGGCATCTGTTGGTGACTCCCATGGAAACAGCCCAGGGTGGGTCCTGTGAACGTGATTGTTGTTTAATTCCTCACTTAGCATTCCTCCGCCGAGCGGATTCAACTCATTCAGCAAATATTTATGGAGTGCAGACTATGCGTCTGACACTTTTGTTAGGTGATGGGTTTAAGGTGATGAACAAGACAGATAGGGATGTTGCTCGCAAATTGCCTACGGACAATTACAACAGAGGGAGAGTGCTATGCCAAAGAGCTCCTGGTAGGGAGGCTCCTACCCTGGTCTGGAGGTTGGAGAAGGCTTCCTGCCTCAGGCACCATCATCTCTTACCTGGGTTACTGCAGTAGCCTCTGAATGGTCTCTTTACTTCTGTCCTTACCCCCTTACAATCCATTTGCTAGACAGTCGAGCAGTCCTTTAAAATAGAAATCGGATCGTGTCACTCTACTCAGATGGGTCCCACCAAACTCGGTAAAAGTCAGCGTTCTTACTGGCCCTCAAAGCCCTGTACCAGTGGGGCCCCTGGTACCTCTATAGGTTCATCTGCTAATATTCTCCATTTTGTTCATTTGGCTCTAGCCATACCGGCCTCCTCGCTGTTCTTTGAAAAAGCCAGGTGTGTTTCTGCCTCTGGCTTTGCCCTTGTTCTCCCAGATGTCTGCAGAGCTTGCTCCCTCATCTCCTTCATCTTTCCTCAAATGTCATTTGCGTGAACAAATCATCCCTGACCATCGTATTTAAAATTGCAGTCCCTACTCCCAAGTACATTCAACCCTTTTCCCTGCGTTATTTCTCCCCATAGCACTTTTTTTTTTAAAGATTTTATTTATTTATTTGACAGAGAGAGACACAGAGGGAACACAAGCAGGGGGAATGGGAGAGGGAGAAGCAGGCTCCCGGCCGAGCAGGGAGCCCAATGTGGGGCTCGATCCCAGGACCCTGGGATCATGACCTGAGCCAAAGGCAGACGCTTAACGACTGAGCCACCCAGGCGCCCCATCCCCATAGCGCTTTCATCTGGCTGATTATTATACAGTTTATCTTGCTTATAGTCTGCCTCTCCCACTAGAATCTAAGTTCAACAAAGGCACTATTTTTTGTAGTTGTTCACTGATGTACCTTCAGTGCCCGGAAGAGGGCCTGGTACATAGTAAAGTACTAGATATTTGTTGAATGCACGAAGTGGCATCTAATTGGGACTTCAGGATGAATCAGTATTGATCAGGTGAAGAACTGGAGGAAGAACAAGCTAGCCAGAGGAAGCAGGATGTGAACAAGACAAGAAAACACAGCTTTGGGAGGAAGTGAAAGCAGCTGGGTGGGGCTGGAGGTTAGAATGCAAGGAACGCAGTGGGCTGACCTAAGATTTAGGGGGAGTGACCTGGGCACCGGCTATGTGCAGAAACCCCTGAGGTGGTCCCTGCTCTCCTTGAGCTCGGAGTCAGGGACCAGTGGTAGTCTGTAGCCAAGAGCTTGGGCTTTGGAACTGGACAGCTGCTGCTACCTTATTCCTGGGATATCTAAAGCAGCTGTTTTGTTTTTGTCTTTTACTCAATAAGTGTGTTCGGATCTTTCAAGAATTTGACACCAGGATGAGATTAGGCATGCAAGAAATTAATTGGAGGCAGCACCTGTGAAGCAGGAAAGGGAGGGGAGCTGCAGAAGTCAGGGCGAGCCTTTAGACAATGATAGAGGAGTCCAGCCCCCCGGGAAGGAGGTTTGGACAGGGAGTCGTGGACTGCAGGGTAGTTCCCCGGAAGGTTCGGGCTGAACCTCAAGGCAAAGTTGCCTGTTAGAGGAGGCCTGCATTTCACTCAGTCATTGGCTGGGGACAGTCTGGAAAGTGTGGCATCCACTGGATGGAGGATCCAGAGGGATAGCAGCTGGGGCCATGCATCAGTTATGCTCCATCCCCGAGGGAGAGCCAATCAGCCCGGTTTCACAGCCATCATGATAAGTCATGTGTGTATACGGTGAAAAAGTCAAACAGCACAGTAAAAAGTCTCTCTTCTTCCTTAAATGTCCTATTGTCCAGTACTCTTCCCTAGAGGGAACCACTGGTAACAGTTTATTTCCTTACAGAAATTTTAGGTGCACTCAGTATATAGGTATATATTTTTAAATATATGAGATTATTTTATGCACACTGTTCTGCAACTTGCTTTCTTTTCCTTAGTGTGTCAGTTCATAGAAGCCTGCCTAATTCCTTTTCATGAGTGAATAGTATCCCATTCTTAGGATCATATTATTTAACTCGTCTCCAACTGGTATGCAGTTAAAGTCTTTCCTATCTTTTCCCATCATAATCAATACTTGAAGTGATCATCCTTGTGTGTATATTTTGCACACACAAGTATGTGTCCTCGAAGCAGGATGCTGAGCCGAAGGGTGTGTGGTTTTAAATTTTGGTAGATATTGCCAAACTGCCCCCTGAAGAGGCTAGGCCAATTTATTCTCTGACCCACAGCAAGCATCTCCACGCCCATTTTGTATTTTTGCCAACCTGACTTTCAGAGTTGTTCTAGTTCACATTTCTCGAATTACGAGTAGGTCGAACAAGTATTCGTACATCTGTAAGCAAGGCCATGGTGTTGGATGAGGACTGTGTGTGTTGTGCTGCGGCTGTCCGGGGGCCTCGGTGGGGATCCTCTTTTCAGTCTGGGGTGGGGCCTGGGCACAGGGTTCTGAGCCACTTCATTCCAGCTAAGAACCCCCAAGCTGACAGAAGCACCCCCCGCCACATGGTGCTGCCCTGAAATGAGCGGCGCTGGGCTTCATTCACTGGGCTTGGGGTTCATGTTTTGGCAGGCATCCTGGGAGCTAATGTCAGAAGAAAGTGACTCTCTGCGAACCAGCCCCTCTGTGGCCTCGCTCTCGGAAAATGAGCTGCCGCCACCGGCCGAGCCTCCTGGCTACGTGTGCTCGCTGACGGAAGACCTGGTCACCAAAGCCAGGGAGGAGCTGCAGGAGAAGCCAGAATGGAGACTTCGAGACGTGCAGGCCCTCCGTGACATGGTGCGGAAGGAGTGCCCGAACCTGAGCACCTCCCTGGACGACGCCTTCCTGCTACGCTTCCTCCGAGCCCGCAAGTTCGATTACGACCGGGCCCTGCAGCTCCTGGTCAACTACCACAGCTGCAGGAGAAGCTGGCCCGAGGTCTTCAACAACCTGAAGCCCTCGGCCTTAAAGGATGTCCTCGCTTCTGGATTCCTCACCGTGCTGCCCCACACCGACCCCCGGGGCTGCCATATCCTCTGCATGCGCCCAGGTATTGCCTGAGACGGTCGGCCGATGCCTGCGTGCCCTGCTCTGTGTGGGATGCGTGTGCCCCGTACCCTCTCTCCCTCACCTTTTCCTCTTTGCCTTCTCCCCGGTTTAGTCAAAGCTCTTTGGATGACAAATGACAAAAAGCTACTCAACCCTGCTTAGGAAAAAGGGGAGGAGTTAGTCTGATGACACAGGAGCATCCCGCAGAACCAGGCAGCTGAAAGTGTAGCCGCTTTCCTGGGGCCCTGGGCCGCAGAGCCAGAGTCCAGTCCATTCCTCCGTCCCCGCCTCTATCAGTCTGTGTATTTCTCTGGGCCACACATTTGTGCTGTGCTGTCCTATCTTCTTCACTCTTCTTCCTGTAGACCGGCTTTTGCTGCCTCTGTGGCCCTGGAGAGATCTCCTACCCCTTAGTGCCCAGGCTTCCTGGGCCACCCAGTCGAGTTCCTCCGTGCAAATTCCCGAGTTCTAGCGTTGAGAATCTGCCCTGGTCATAGGGTACGAGCAGGCCTATCCCCGTCCCTCCTTTGTGAGTCGGTGAGGCAGCCATCGATGGGGGCTGGGCAGACGATTGGAAGGGTGTCCGTCCGCCGCGTGCCTCTCCTCTCCCTCCTTTCCTCTACTGGGTTAAGCCATTGATTCACTTTTCAGTCTCAGCACTTACTGATGGTAATCAGCACATCGTACATTTCCCTGGCAGTAGCTTTAATTGGGGGCGCCAAATGCGCCATCAACTGAGGAGTGAAGGAGCGTTACCCATGGGTTCCCACCCCCACGGCCTTAACGTTCTCCGTCAGACCAGAGCAGAGACAAAATATGAAACTAAAATTGCAGTGTTCTCCCAACCAAGCCAGGAGCAGGAGAACATGCCTGCCGGCAGCCCTCTTCTCACTTGTACCTAGTCCTCTTGAAGGGACGCCTAATGGGGAGTGGTGACCTCCCTGTACGTTTCCTCTGCCTTTAAGGCCACATCGCCATCACTTTGGTCATTTACCAAACCCTTTTTGGGGACTGAACCATCCTCTTGAGCCTCTACTGTGTACCAGGCACAGTGTTAACTGCTTTACCTGCTGTTTTAGGCCCTTTCCAAAATTAGGGTTGTTTATTTAAAATAAGCAACGCAGTGGAGATTTTAGAGCACCAGGAGACCTAGGAACCAGTCAGCAGGTTTTTTTCTGCTACTCCTCTGTACTCAACTCATAAGGATATTACAAAACAGATTAGCACACTGAGTTCACCTCTTTGCTTGTGTGGTTTCAGCCCTTTGGTTGCACGATTTCAACCCTTTGCTTGTGAGATGACTTTTCCCCCATAAGTCTGGAGCAGAGCTAGACCCCTCCCCACCAACGCAACTCTTTAGGAGGAGGCATACTGAGAAGGTTTTGTTCTCAACTGGATATTAGCTTTTCCTCTCTGGGGACATATGTTATTGAAAAGGATGACATCCAGTTATGTAGAAGCAGGTTTAGTTGGCAGGAACATTCAACAGCAAGCTGGCACAGCTTTTGGACGAGATTTTGTTCACAGGAATTTTGCACGTTACATATCCCCTTGGTGGTGGCAATCATGTGGAGTTTTATCTTCCTAAGAAAAGGACCCTCAGGTGTTGGTGGGATTTTCTTGACAATAGCGGTTTACAGTCAAAAGTGTCATTTCCATCTTCTTCCCAGAGAAAGGAAGGATTCCTTAAATATATGGGGAATACTAAGGGAGCATCTGGCCCAGAAAGGGGATGTGGCACAAAGCACAGCACTGGAAAACTGTCTCCATCTCTGTCTTCCTTGGCACATGCTTCATTCTCAGGCCAGCCCTTGCCTCCTGGGGGCCCCTGAGTCTCAGGCTCCTAGCCTCACCACTATAAGAGGGAAGAGGGATCTTTTCTTTCCAAAGGGCCGTGGTCGCAGAATTGAGTCCCCTTGGCTCTGTTTGATCAGGCTTGGGTCACACACTGTGGCCAGGAGGATGTAAGACCCGCATTGGCCACGCCCACCCCTGCAGCCAGGAGGCAGGTCAGTGGTACCCAAACCGCAAGGTTAGCGTGGGAAGAGGTGGCTCAGGGCATTGGTATGAAAATCTGGGCACATTATCTGTTCGGCAGACGGCACAGATGTCCATTAAGGGTAGTATTACGATCCCATTTTACTTCTGAGGAGGTGAGGGCTCAGAATGAGGAGGTAACTCACACAGCTATTAAGATTCCAACCTCCCCCTCCCCGTGTGTCTGACTTCAGAGCTCAGGCTTTTAACTTCAGCACTCAGTTGCATTTCCTTTTCAGAAAGTGCTGCTTGCTCCCTTTGGCAATAACATCAGCTGCTGCTAAGGTGTCCCATTTCCTAACCTAAATAGAGTCATGCCAGTAGAGTATCTGTTTTTCCATTTTTAAACGAGAGTTCTAGCAAGGAGATAAATCGTAGCCTGTGAAGACTTGTTTGTATTCACCTCTGTAACATTCTGTCCATTTCTTATGACCTCAGACAGATGGATACCGAGCAACTATCCAATTACCGAAAACATCCGAGCCATATACTTGACGTTAGAAAAACTCATTCAGTCTGAAGAAACCCAGGTGAATGGAATTGTAATTCTTGCAGACTACAAAGGAGTGAGCTTATCAAAAGCATCTCACTTTGGCCCTTTTATAGCCAAAAAGGTGATTGGCATCCTTCAGGTATGGCCCCTGTTTGTCGTGTGCCTGTTCCGTGGCAGTTTGGGCTTTCCCCGGGGGGACTTGTCTGTTCACCGCCAGTCCCACGTGATACACAAACCCCACTTCTACGATCCGACAGATACAAAAGCATTATGGGAAGAAATGTAAATGTCCTATTTACCACTTATTCTCGTCAGGTTCTCCCGTAGTTTCTGAGATCCCTTCAGTCTGGGCAAGATCAGCTTTAGGGCAAGAGCCCAACAGACAGGAAAATGCTTTCTGCATGTTTTTTCTTTTCTTCTTCTTCTTTTTTTTCTTTCTCCAGAAGACAGAGGAGCAATTCTAACAAATGAAACTGAGAATTTGTGTTTCTGGCTAATATGCTAGATCCTGTCCTGTCCTCTGGGACCTGGGGACGGGGAGCCTATTGTTTCACATCTCATGTGTTATGTGTTTTTTTGTTTTGTTTTTTTGTTTTTTAGAGTGCGCTTGCGCACGCGTGTGCATGGGGGTGGGGCAGAGGGAGAGAATCTCAGGGAGAGTCCATCCCCGGTGCAGAGCCCCGAGGCGGGGCTTGATCTCATGATCCTGAGATCATGACCTGAGCTGACATCCAGAGTCGGTGGATGCTCAGCTGACTCAGCCACCCAGGCACCCCCGTGTTCTGTGTTTTAGAACACAGGTGAGGGGCAACCCTCTCAGGTCTCCTCCCTCTTCGGGAGCTTTGTACTATCATTTCGCTATTGCTCAATAAACCTTGCTTTGCTGCCCACCAAAAAAAAAAAAAAAGTGCGGGGAACCAGAACATTCCTCCCATATGTGCACAATGTTCAATAGTTTGCAAAGTGCTTTTACAGTCATTATAACTCATTCAGTCCTACAAGGACTCCTCTGAGATAAACAAGGCAAAAATTAAGTTTTCTTTTTAGTACATGTGCTGCTGAAGTGAGCACAAATTATTTTTCCTTTTTGATGGATGGGGACACAGCCCTTGCAGGGGTAGCCTGGCCTGAGTCTTATGGCTCTAACCATTTTGGCTCTTCATTCCCTCTGGCCAGCCCATGGGTGCTGTCTCTCGTGAGCTGTGGGGCACCAGAAATACAGCGGTTTCCTCTGTGAATCCCACAATGCCTGTGAGCCCCCAACTGGGTGCCAGGCTGATCATTTAAACATCAGCATCACATTTGGTCATTATCAGAAATGTGGAGCCAATACTCTGGCTTCCCTTAGCTTCCACTCTTCTTTCGATGCCCCTGCTAAATACTGCATAGATTCAAATACCAGGATAAGGAGTTTGGATCAGTGTTTTCTAGTCTTCTAAGATGATCGGGGGGAGAAAGTTCCAGGGTTAAATAAGTCTGGGAAATGTGGTATAGCATGTCCCTTTTTTTTTTTTTTAATTTTTTTATTGTTATGTTAATCACCATATATTACATCATTAGTTTTTGATGCAGTGTTCCATGATTCATTGTTTGTTCATAACACCCAGTGCACCATGCAAAACGTGCCCTCCTCAATACCCATCACCAGGCTAACCCATCCCCCCACCCCCCTACCCTCTAGAACCCTCAGTTTTTCAGAGTCCATCATCTCTCATGGTTCGTCTCCCCCTCTGACATACTCCCCTTTTCTTCCTCTCCTGTTATCTTCTTCTTTTCCTTTTTTCTTAAAATATGTTGCGTTATTTGTTTCAGAAGTACAGATCTGTGATTCAACAGTCTTGCACAATTCACAGCGCTCACCGTAGCACATACCCTCCCCAATGTCTATCACCCAGCCATCCCATCCCTCCCACCCCCAACCACTCCAGTAACACTCAGTTTGTTTCCTGAGATTAAGAATTCCTCATATCAGTGAGGTCATGTGATACATGTCTTTCTCTGATTGACTTATTTCACTCAGCATAACACCCTCCAGTTCCATCCACGTCGTTGCAAATGGCAAGATCTCATTCCTTTTGATGGCTGCATAATATTCCATTGTGTATATATACCACATCTTCTTTATCCATTCATCTGTCGATGGGCATCTTGGCTCTTTCCACAGTTTGGCTATTGTGGAGCATGTCCCTTTCTTGAGAATGTGACTGTGAACATTTGCAGACGACAGTCCTGCAGTGAAGGAAACCCATGTGACTACATAGCGTGCTATTCTCAAACTTCTTTACCTACCTTGGAACCTTTTTTGCATCACACCTAGTACCGTTCTGAGAAATACCCTTTGGCAACACCGATCCTGAAGGATTGATGTTGCTAGATCCATCCACATAGGCTCTCATTTTTGTTTTTTTGTCTTGTTTTGTTTTGTTTTGTTTTGTTTTGTTTTGCCACAAGAGGAGCAGCTCTCCACTTGTTGGCCTAAGTTTAGGCCCCAAGAAAGACACTCTCTCTCTCTCAGGCTTGTCTTCCTAGTTAGCCCCCACGTGGGCTGGCTTTGAGGAGGCCATGAGAGTCAGGCCAAACTGATTGGGGGCCCTCAAGAAGATTTAAAGGAGGAAGGCAGCTGTGGACAGTCTGTGGGTGCCCCACATGTTCTAACCTCTCCTTCCCCTCCCCTGCAGGATGGCTTTCCCATTCGGATAAAAGCAGTGCATGTAGTGAATGAACCTCGAATATTTAAGGGCATTTTTGCCATCATAAAACCATTTCTGAAGGAGAAAATAGCAAACAGAGTAAGTGATGATTCTATTGACTTTTTTTTTTTTTTTTTGCTCCCTTATTTGTGACATCAATAAACTTCTCTTAGTTTATTATTTTTGTCCTGGGATGATTAATTTGGAAAGGACAGAGTTACAGATAAAATAAGTGAACAATCCTTTCTGTGAAAAGACAAAATGAATAGGATATAATATTTGACAGGAGAGAGCAGAGGAGGTAGCTCTCAAAAGAGTTAAAATGCTATGTAGTCATTTAGACTCTTCAATATCCTGGCCTGGGCACGGTGAACCAACATTGTATTTCATGTGTGAGAGGACAGGGAGAAGGGTAGTATTGGGCAGGTAGTTAAAAAGTTATGGTGATTTCTTACTACAGCTCCTTGGGGTTTAAAAATGCTATTTTAAGCCCTTCTATTTACCTGATTTGTTGTCTTGCTGTATCAAGTTTGTGGAATAATTCATGGTTTATGAGATTAGTGAGTTTTAGCTTATCTGTTGTTTAAGAAAGTAGAGATGGCATTTTGAAAGATGGTCTTCCTCTCTGACCCAGAAGAGCCACTTCTCAACCTTTGCTAGTACTGTGATTGCATGTGATGAGTGGTATTTTTCTCCTTCTTCCCTAGGCCTAGGAACAGTGTGGTCCCTCCAAAGACTGGGTCTTGAATTTTGTACTTTTTCAAAGAGGAAACAGAGAGAGAATCTCAAAGTTGCAAGGCAAGGAATTTAAAATACAGATGGGGGCACCTGGCTGGCTCAGTTGGTGGAATGTGCTACTCTTGATCTCAGGGTTGTAAGTCCGAGCCCCATGTTGGGTATCGAGATTACTGAAAATCTTTACTAAAATAAAATAAAATCCAGATTCCCAGGCCCTTTCCCTGAAGATTTTTTTTTTTTAAAGAATCTATACCTCCACTCTACTGAAGCTGTTTTGTTTTTGTTTTTGTTTTTGTTTTAAGATTTTATTTATTTGACAGAGACAGCGAGAGAGGGAACACAAGCAGGGGGAGTGGGAGAGGGAGAAGCAGGCTTCCCACGGAGCAGGGAACCCGATGCAGGGCTCGATCCCAGGACCCTGGGATCATGACCTGAGCTGAAGGCAGACACTTAACGACTGAGCCACCCAGGCGCCCCTCCCTGAAGATTTTAACTCTGAACGTTCAGGGGTGGAGCCAAAGAGTTTGTGCTTTTAAAATCTTATGTGATTCTGATGCACAGTCAGGTTGGAGAACTGCTAATTTAGTGGCATCCCTGCCTGGGTTTGAACCCCTCTTAGTACCTGGAGATCCTGTTTGGAACCTGCTTTTAAAGCCAAAGCAGTCTTTGGAATGGGCCTTTTTTATCTATGAAATGACCTTATTTGTGGTCCATAATCTTGTTCATTTCGTCCTTCATATGTTCATTCATTCTTTCAAAAATATCTGTCGATCGGGGCACCTGGGTGGCTCAGTTGGTTAAGCGACTGCCTTCGGCTCAGGTCATGACCCTGGAGTCCCGGGATCGAGTCCCATGTCGGGCTCCCTGCTCAGCAGGGAGTCTGCTTCTCCCTCTGACCCTCTTCCCTCTCGTGCTCTCATTCTCTCTCTCTCTCAAATAAATAAAATCTTAAAAAAAAAAAAATATCTGGCGATCAACTACTGTGCACAAGTATGTTCTAGAACAACATAGACCGAAACCTCTGCCGCCGCCCCCCCCAACCCCCCGGGGAGCTTACATGCTAGAGATACAGACAGTGGATGTATATTATCTAGTATTAAGATGTGATAAGTGCTGTGGAGAAAAAATAAGCAGAGAAAGGGGCCAGTACAGGACAGGGGCAAGGGGTTGTAGCATCCAGTAGGGGGGTTAGGGATGGCGTCGCTGAGAAGCTGGCCTTTGAGCCGGCTTGGCAGAGGTGAGGGAGAGCGCTTACAGATCTCGGAGAGCCAGGAGAACCAGCAGCGGCACCGCCCCCAGGTGGGAGCCCATTGGGCAGGAGCAGCAGCAGAGGGGAGGGGCGGCGGAGGAGCCGCGGGGGCCAGCGTGCCGACCTCCGCCCCTGGGGCGAGTGAGGTGGGAGCACCCCGGCCTCTGGCGTGCGTGAGGTGGGAGCATCGGCAGGCCACGCGGCAAGGAGTGGCATGATCTGACTGGCGCCGAGCAGAGTTGAGACTGCAGAACAGGCTGCGAGTAGGGAGACCAGGCTGAGGCTGTCGTGGGAACCCAGGGGAGAAGTGGGGGTGGCAGGGTTCCATGAGGTGGGCCGCAGAGTGGTTGGATCCTGGATGTCTTTTGAAGGAGCAGCCAACAGAGCATGGGGTATAGGAAGGGAATTAAGGATCCTCAAGCTTTTCGAGGAACTGGAAGGGTCCAGTTGCCATCAGCTGTTCCTTTATTCATTCAACAGATGGTTGAGCCCCTACCTGGCCTGCAGGTGACTGATACTGATTAACCTGAGGGCACATGTGTTTCTGTTTCCCCTTTAGTTCTTCCTCCACGGGTCCAACCTGAACTCTCTGCACACAAGCCTTCCCAGAAGCATTCTCCCCAAGGAGTATGGGGGCACGGCTGGAGAGCTGGACATCACCGCCTGGAATGCAGTGCTGCTGGCCTCGGAGGAGGACTTCGTGAGAGAGTTCTGCCAACCTGTCCCTGTCTGCGACAGCATCCTGGGCCAGGCCCCGCCTCCTGAGGGGCTGACCCCAGATGTGCAGTGTGATGATTCTCTGAGGGCCGTGAAATCGCAGCTCTACTCCTGCTATTAGCCAGTCCCCTATGAGTGCCGCCATCTTTAAATCCTTTCCTTTTTCTTTGGAGAGGCGCAAGGAGAGTCTGAGGTGCCATGGAGTCTGTCTTGCTCCTGGTAATTAAACTGCAGCCTGTAGAGCTCTGAGGGTAAGCCATGGGGTAAGCCTTTGGTGACTCTTGAATTAATCCATGGAAGACATGGAAAATGTCCCCAGTGATCCCCAAGCGTTGGGAATCCCAGTTTGCAACCACAATCTGGAAGCTCTATCTGGTTCATAGAGATCTTGGAACAAGAAAAATCAGGACCAAAGTCATTTTGGTTCCACGTTCCAGGAGCAAACCGCCTGATTGGCCAGTCAGCACACTCCTGTGAAAGAACCTGGCCGAGCCTGCAAGGTGGCCACACCAGGAGACTTTGGGAGTTTGTGTCTTTCACCTGAACCCTAACTACAGACTTGCGTTGCTCCTCAGGAAGTTTCTAGTTTGAGGCCCAGGCCCCAGCTGCCACACTGGGTTTGGAAAGCACCTTAATCGAATCATCGTGGAGGCAGCAGGACAGAAGCAGCACCTTCCTGATCAAATTTGGGGGCCCGCGACCTGGAAGCACCTCTGGGATTCACTGACTGACTCTTGCAATAGAAAATGAAGTTTTCCCCAAACCCATAAAGCCTTAGCCCTGGTTCTCAACAGAATCATACGGGATCCTAGAGGTATGTGATTTTACTCAAAACGCTAGATGCCAGGCCTGAGGAGCTGAAAGAATTCTGGCCCAGGAATGAAGAGAGCGGGGCTGCAGCCCAGAAGTGCGACTGTGGACAAGACCTGGGCCTCTGGGCTCTGCCTTCTCATCTGTAAAATGAAGCTGGATGAAATGACGCCTAGGGCCTTGGCTGCTGACATTCTGGGGTTTGCTTTATTGAATGCTGGACACTGGTTTTCTGCCTAGAGAAATGGCTCTCTAGAGGCAAGTGGTTGGATCCTGCTTTTTTGTGGTACACCTGGGCCTTCCCAAGAGACATGAGTTACCAGCTGGCCCTGCCTTTAAGGAAAGTAAGAGGTGTATTCCTGGGACCTGGCGACAGCCAACTTCCTTTTTGTAGGAAGGGTTAAACTGGAAAAGGGCAGGTGAAATGACCAGGGTTCACGTGAATTCCTTCTGTCCCCGAGGCTCCGGCGGTACACTGGAAACCTGGCAGCAGGGAATGGCTAAATTACTTGGGAGTCTTAAATTTTGGTCTCTGGAAACGAATGCACGAGCGGGTTATCGCTGGATTACTTCTGGGGCCCCCGCCCTCCCAGATACGCTTGCATTTCTCTCTCTGGTGTGGGCGGACTGACTTGAGTCTAGCCAGCGAGACCAAATGTTAGTTCTCCATTTCAGCACTTTAGACCCTTCCTGTCAAAACTTCAGCCTTAGCCCAACCACCAAACCAGGTGGTTCAGCTGGTGGCTTTTTGACCTATTTCCTTTCGTATTCATTCCTTGAAAATTATGGCGTTAAAAAATGGACAAGTACTATGTGTTGTCTAAGTACGTTCTCCACGCATTTATGAGGCCGCCGCGCAAGGGGACAACAGCTCAGGTAGGAAGAGCACAGTGCTCTGAAAGGCAAAGGCCAGTCTATTGTCAGTAAGCGCTTCATCTTCATAGCACTGTTTAAAATGCATGGAGAAGCTGGTGGTGAAAATGATTCACCTCATTAGTGCCCAACTCCAGGGAAGGCTCTTCCCCGTGGATACTAACCCTGGATCCCCTAGGACCTGGCAGAGCTGGAAGTGCCAGCATGCAGCCCCCTGGCAGCCTCCAGTTCCATCTGCCAAGGACAGTGTGGCCAGCATGGCTGAAAAGATCTCAGTAGCACAAGTAGGCGGGCCACAGTGGAAGCTTCAGAACCCCACAGCTTGGATGTGGGAATTGGTTAGAGGTGTTCTTCAACCTCAGAGAGGAAAGAGAGATTAGAAAACAAAACCACCCCCCCCCAAGCTAGACAGAGGGAGAAATGAACTGTTCAGCCCCACCGAGTTTCCCAGTGTACACGCTGCGCTGCGTTCCTGGCCAGTTTTGCCCGTGTCCATTTGACTTGAAAAGCTTGCGTGTGTGTAAGCTCACCTGGACAAGTATCTGCAAGACCAGGCAAGACCGGGATGTTTCCTTGGCCTTTCCGGTTGGCCCAAGGAGTCAGAGGCAAGATTTGTCTGCCTTCTGCAGCTGCTGTGTTTTATTTTGGTTCCAAAGAGAGAGCAAATAGTTTGGACACCTCAGGAGACTTGAACCACGCTGTGAAAGCAGGACCTCCCTGGTGAAAATCAAGGCAGTTTCTGTGTGGCTTCACCAGGCGTCTGTATAGAGCTGCCCCAGCGGGGTGGGGGGATGATCAAGGGACCAAGGGAGCCTGATTCAGGAGCGGGGTACACTGATGGGACAAACAAGTGAGCATAGGGAGAACTGGGAGTGTTTTCCTTCAGGGAAAGGTTCTGGCCTATTTCACAAACATCTAAAAAGTAACCTTTCCCTAAATTCAGGGTACTGTGGTATAGGAAAGGGAAAGGAGTCTGCCAGGAGTCTGGTTCTGGCTTTACACTGCTGTGTGGCCTTGGATGAGCCACTGAACACCCCTCAATCACATGATAAAAGGGATCTCCATTCTGAGCTCTGAACCCTCTGTTTTAGGCATCATTTGGCTTTACTGCCACAGGGACATTGTACTCTACCTTTTAGAGGCCTTTTTCTTTTTCCCCCATCTGGATTACTTTATAGGAAATGTAGGTCTGAATGACGTCTGAAGCTGCCAAATGAATCTGTAAGCTTAGGTAATATGGGGGTTTTCTTCCTCTTCTCTTCTACAGAATCTGGAAAACTATGACTTTTCCTGGAATCCTGTTCTACCTTCACGGAGAGAGGCTGGAAGAAATGTGCAGAAACAACTGTGCAAATCTGGCTTCCTCTCCCAAGCTTACCTGCTTTGGGCAGAAGTGGCTTTAGCTTCCCCATACTTCATCTCGTTTTCACAAGAAGCCACATGTCCTTAGAGGTTTACAAACACTTCAGCTTGTAAGATACATTTTTGCCAGACTCAGAGGACAGGAAGAGGTATTTTCCCCCAAATTCCTGTGAGCTACCGAGCCTTTCTGAATTCTCCCGGTGGGCAGTTTCTTTAAATGCCACCGGATTCTCAGATTGCTTTTTCACTTGGGTAGGCAAAAGCTGTGGTACTGTTGTGGCATTATTTATTACTTCATTTTAAAGTCTTTAGCTTTTAAGGTTTTCCTTTGAAGCCTTCCTTTCATTGAGGAAGTGAAGTGTTAGCCAAGGTAATGATGCAAATGTGGCTGTTCTGTGGATGTGTGGAGACACCAAACAGAAACATCTCTTCAGGAAAGAGGTCCATCTGGTGATGTCTCTCAGTATTGGGACCTGTTAATTTTGTAAATCTAAAGTAAATTCCTTTCTGCTTTCCCGACTCAAAACTGGTTTGCTTGAAATGCAAGGGACAGTCATCGTCAAATATTCCTAACAGAGCTTGTGCCACAGGAAGGCCCGGTGTGACTCGTGGAGGTGCTAGTGATGAACTTGCCGTTTGCCAATTCACTGCTTCTCCTTTGGGCTCACCAGGCGGCACATTTAGTTGGGCAGGAAGTCAGCTGCTGTTGGGGATTCTTGGGCTATGCCTCCGCCTCTTGGCACATCAGGTGGTAACCTGTTACGGGTGAGATGCCTGAGGCCTCTCAGGGGCCAGGAGCCTCTGATCCCACGCTGACAGGGTGGGAGGCAGGCTGATTTTCTGACCAGATTGGGGCACCATTTCAGCCACTGGTCACATTCCTCGCTTCAAACTGAAATTCAGTTTAGCTTTGAGTATATGGACACGTGGTGGTGGATTCATCTACTTGTGTTTGTTTTGACCAAAAGTTTATTTTTCTAGTGCATTTTCTACGTCAAAGTGGTGAAAACATGTAATTTTAGTATGCATGACTGGGTCTTAATAAAAGTCCTGTAAGGCTATGTGTGGAGTTCTTTTGTGATAGTGACCGTTTAGATAAAGGTTCTGAAGTTTTATTATTCATGGTACATGATGGCCCAGGTAGAGCCTCCCTCCAGGTCAGGCAGGGAGAGGCCCTGTGGCAACACATTGCACCTATAGATTTGGGGCTGGCCACCTCTGAAGATCATGCACAATTAGAAGATACCAGTGTATACAAAGAATGGCACTTGATATACACAGTGGTAGAGACAATGTGCAGATTTTTTCAGTTCTTAAGGCCCAGCTGTCCCTTCTAGACTGGCCTTGAATCTTTCGCATAGCTAACAATTTCCGAGTGCCTGTATGGGCTAGGCATCCATTATGTTAGGTGCTTCACAGAGATAACCCACTTAATCTTTTTTTTCTTTAAATTTTTTATTATTCTGTTAATCACCATACATTACATCATTAGTTTTTGATGTAGTGTTCCACGATTCATTGTTTGTGCATAACACCCAGTGCTCCATGCAGAACGTGCCCTCCTTAATACCCATCACCAGGCTAACCCATCCCCCCACCCCCCTCCCCCCTCCCCTCTAGAACCCTGTTTGTTTTTCAGAGTCCATCGTCTCTCATGATAACCCACTTAATCTTAAGTAGTATTCCTGCTCCTGTGGGGGAAACGAGGCCCAGAGGAGTTAAGCAGGTTGCCCAAGGACACACAGTCAAATGTGGAGCTGGGCTTCAAAGCCCGGTAGTCAGACTCTAGCCCACTTTCTCCTGATGGTCAGAGCCACACTGTTTGCCTTTTACTGTCATTCACCCTCCAACAGAACACAGAAGGAAAGGAGGAAAGAATTTTTTTATAGGGGAGCAGTGTACAAAGTAGGTGGTTTTCTGGCTTCTTATAAAATACAAAGCGGAGGTTCTTAACCTCTGAGACCCAGGCTGTAACTGAACGTTTTATTCTGGAAGCACAAGTGAACCCAGACTCCTTAAGGGATAACTAGATGTGGCTTGATCGACCGTGGTCCCAGGCATGCTTGGCTGTCTCTCTACCTGCTCCCTGTTGGTTTCTATACAGGAGCGTGTGGTCTGCCCCACAGGAGACAAAAGCTAGGTGCCTCGGTGGGTCCGGTGTGTTGATGAGTCAGTTGGCAAACTGTCTCATGCAGGACATCCACACACTTACCGCTGACTTTTGATGATGCAGCAGGTTAAGTTCTTAACACCGCAACACGCCAGCTCTTGAGGTCAGCCTTCCTCAGGAAGCGGTGGCCCTAAAACTCAGTCCGTTTCTCCCATCTGGAAAAATGGACTCTTGGCTCCAACCAGGGCAGCAGAGTTTTTACAAGCCGTGGGAGTTATTTCTGGTTTGTTTTCTGAAATACCTGTTTTCCGCGATGCCCCTTCCTCACATAGCACTGGTCCGGCATGCCTGTAACTGATGCAGAAATGTGTCCTGCTACTGCATTAAAGCTGGTGAGGAAGAAAATCCTTTAGGGTTGCCACTTTTCTGGAAGCAAACTGTTTTAACCAAATGTTCACCCTCTTACCTGGTAAGGTGCCAGCCATTTAGAGATACAATGCCCTAGTCAGTTACTGTCTTCAGGGGATTCCTAATCTTCCTTTGCTGCTGATGGGTAGTTTGACAGCACGTCCCTAAGCCGTCTCCAGTCATCTTGGTGCCCTGTCACCTTATGCCAAGAGACAATGGGGCCTAACTGAAAAAAGAACTCTCAAGTCCTGGTTTATTTCTCTGTTTTGCCTCTTACTAATTATGGGCAAGTCCCTAACTTCTCTAAGCCTCAGTCTGATCTGTCAGGGGGAAGGGGGAGAATCCCCACCTTCTAGGTGCATGGACAGCGTCTATTCACAGCTGGGCACACACATTGTTTCATGGTCACTATTCTGCACCTGAGGAGACGGTTTGTGTCCAGCTCATGTCACTCAGCCGCGGTGAGGACGCCACTGAGCAGGCCACCTGATTTGGGCTCCAAGGTACAGGATGGATAGAACACGAAAGGAGAAAAGACACGAGCAAGCAGCTCTGGTTGCAGAGCTCAAAAGCATGACTCATGTTACTGAACGCTTTTGCTGGAATGTATAAAAAGGAAAAGGAATTGTAATGGACAAAAACACGTGCTGGTTTACGGCTTGGTCCAGAACATCAATAGCAGCAATAACCAGATCCATGGCCATTCTTTGGCAGGCTCCTTGCTGGATAAGAGAAGCTTTTATTTCCCAACCGAGTACCCTGCTAGACCAGTCTTAGCAAACTGGCAAGGGGCCACATGGGCCTGCAAGCCTCCTCCCAGCTAGCTCCTACCAGGTAAAGGTGCAGCCACTGCTGTTGCCCCTGATGAGGTCCTAGGCCATACTGCTGGCCTCGGAGCCAGGCGGTCCATCTGCAATCCTGAGGGACAGACAGGCCCATTCCTGGGGAGGAAACACCAGATGACTTATCTGATGAGTCAAAATACTCTCCTGCTTTCAAGTGTGATCCTGGGCTTACTCGACCTGCTGATGTTATTTATGCTTGTGTATAATTCAGCACTCACGAGTACGGTTCGCTTGAGTCTTGAGTAATCTTGGGTTTCCTAGCAACAGGCCAACTTAGAGTACAGTCAAGCAAACAGGGATACTGCCCCCTAATTTTCAAAGAAAATTTGTTATTTCAAATTAATATCAAAGTTATGAGAAAAAATAAACACTTTATTGGACTTTGTTACACTTATTTTACAATTTAGTATTGTTTTATTTTGCATTACATAAGGTGGGGGATGGCACACCTTCATTGTTTCTGAAGTTTAGGACCTTTAAAGGTCTTAATCTGGCTACCCTGCTATTAAGGAAAGTGGGGTGTCTGCTTTACACTGGCAAAGTAAGGGGCTAAACCTCCCCTATTTGCCCCCCCCACCTCCCTTGTAACTTTTATCTCTGTACCTTGACATAAAGCACTGGTTTAAAACACAGTGGTTCCAACGATTCTTATCAAGCCCTGCTTCCTTACCCCATCCCCGCCAACCTCCATCCCAACTGAGATTGTCCCCTCTGTGTCCCATCTGTTTAATTCTGTAAGAACACCTCAAATCTAGCCTCCATCAGACTGTGGCTGAACATCTCTGACCTTTGAATACTGTCTAATCTCATTTTAGCCCACAGTGAGATTAGCAGTGTTTAAAACGGGTTAAGCACTTTGCAAAGTAACTTTAAACAATACGTACTAGGTACTATCTTTTATTCAAACGAGGAAAACACTGAGGCTCAGACAGATGGTCACACAGATAGTCATCTGCCCAAGGTCATGTACTCAAGAGATATTAGCCGACCAGTTTGACAGACAAAAAAAGCAATGCGGATACAAACCCAGTCTTGACTTCCAAGCCCATGTCCTTAGCTGTTGGACATTCTTAAGGGACCAACCCCATTCTTCCCATACAATGTGCTCCTCTCCCTGTCTCTCCCCATATAAATGGAACCCCCATCAACTCAGGTGATGAAACCAGCAGCACTCAGGAATCGGCCTCTGCCTGAGAGCTAATCAATTGCCAGTTTTTAAATTTTAATTACGAAGTAGCTCTCAGCTGTCAGTTTCTCCCCATCCTCACTTTCACTTCTCTGTTTGAAATGGTGTATGGCCTGCCCTGGTCTCTTCTCTAAATGCCTCTCTGCGCGTCAGCTGCAGTGACTGAAGACCGTTCGTTCATGTCACTATGAATATGCTCCCTGCTGCTCTCAACGTAAGGCTCAAACTCTTCAGTGTGGTTTGCAAAGCCCTTTGTGACCCAGTCCCTGCCCTCTTCTTCCCATTCCAGCTTTCCTGAACAAGTCTGCATCTCCCTTCCTTTAACATGAAGTTTTGTCTACCCTGCAGCAATGCCGGCCCTTTACCCCATTTCTCTCTCGGCTAACTCCTAACAATTCCTGGCCTCCAACTCCACTTTTTCCAGGAAGCCCTACCAGGACCACCCCTCACCCTGACCCCAGGCAACTCCCCTGAGTTCTCTGCAATTCCTCAATCACAAGCACTCATCCCAGCGCCTGTACACCTGGCAGCTCATTTTCACCCTCCTCTAAACTCTTAAGTCCAAGATGGCAGAGCTGGTATCTTGTCATGTTTAACGTTGGATCCCCGAATGTGACAGGGCCTGGTACAGAACAGACACTCAGTAAATGTGTGTTGAAAGAACAAACTGTTCTAGTCGACCTCCCTGTGTGCTACCTCTCCTGAAGAAGTTGCCCGACAGCGCCTGCCTTGTGTCTCATCTACACAAGTGTCTTACCCAGGAAAGATATTATCAGTACAATTTTTAGATGAGTTCAAGACTTGACTTACTAGCCAGGCCTCAAGTTTTAGAAGAGACAGGCGCATTCTGCTCGATGCCTGATAAACCTGACAGCCCACATATGTCTAAAAATTATAGGATGGCTGCTAACTCATAAAAGCTGTAAAAGAAAGGGCCTTAAAAGCTTAAGTCTCTATTTTAATCAAATACCTTTATAGTGCAAATATAATAAATTCACATGCATTTTACTTTTACATACTCATAACAAGATAATGACATAAAGACTAAAGTGGCACTGTTTTCCCAAGTGACTTCATTTTCGCCAAACCTACAAAGCGCTATGGAGACGAACACTTCTGGCAAAGCTGGAGCTGCTTTAGGCATCACTGCTCTAGCGTCCACCACCGAATGAACTAACCCAAGCTGCAGAAGCAGTTAGCCGGGTCAGCCACCCTGCCCGTCTGGGGAAGGAGCCAGAGGCACGCACCCCTCCCCCCAAGAACTCCAATGCCACACCTCGTGGGGGATGAAGGGCTGAACACACTGCTTGCTTGCATCACACAAATAAAGACTCACAGAGGAAACCTGTCATAGAAATGGTGGGTTTTGTTTTTTGCTTTTTAAGGAGACTGCAATAGAAATATATTAACGATTGGCCTCAAATAACCAACATTTTTCTTACATTTTAAATCAAAGTTGTAGGATCCTACAGATCTTAATAAAGAACTCTCTTCACAGCACAGCTGTAGTTCACTTTAAAACGCAAAATGTTCCCTTCGCGCTGTATCTTTACAAATAAACGTAATATACATATAAATGAAAAGTTCAGATCCTGCATCAAGCATTACGTAATCTTGCTCTCTGATATAAACTTGGATATAGTCACATTTGCAAAGTGTTCACTTAGTATTTTAGTTGAAGCAAAAGTAAAACAGATACGGGCTTTCGGCAAAGCAGACCTTTATGAATTCTCAGAGGCTCAGCTGAAGTCACGATTGGTGAGGACAAGTGGAGCCACAAGGGTCCAGACATAGAGGAGGAGGCAGACCCAGCTGGAGCTGATCTTGACCCACACAGCTGGCCACTTGCTGGTCATGCTCTGGAACTCTGCATCAGGGCTAAGAAAACAGAAGAAGGTAAAAGAGCCTGTCACCAGCATCCAGCAGCAACCCCCAGCCAAAGCCAAGAAACCTGGCTAACACTATGCTCTAGTAAGGTTCTAGAAGGAACGTGTGAAAGCTGCTATTATTAGTTTTTATGTGCAGGGGACTCTGCCTTCAAGAAGCTTTTCTCTTGTCAGCATGAAGAACTCTGACTACTGTATGTGCTGGGCAAAGTTCTTCAGGAACACCTAGCTGTTCTAGATACTGGCAAAAGTCTAGATTGAAATGGGAGTCCCTGAAACTTTCCTTCTTTATCACACCATTACTTTGATCAGAATACTCTAAATGGCCATCTCTAGACACAGAGGAAAATTAGTGAACAGAGATGGGTCTGACTGCTTTACGTTATGATTTTCTCTCTTAAGTAACTCAAGTCCGGAAGAACTCTCTCCATGATTCATCTGTAAGAATTCCAACTGGATTTTAAATCCAAGAGGAGAAAAAAGTCAAAAGTATTTCAGAAAAGAGCACCGAACACAACAACTTCATTGTATGGGTAAGGGAACGGGATTCTGAGGTTGAGCAATGGATGGAGATTTTACAGGCAGCAAGGGGGGCCAAGTGGTCTTCCATCTGGTTCGTCTATGCCTCCTACCTGTACCAGCCAGTCAGGGTCATCATGATGTACAAGGAAGCCAAGGAGAGCATGAAGTGGAATAAGAAGTAGCTGTACTGCACTCCTTCCTTCTCGTTGTCCACAGCCCGCCGAGGCTGTCCGTCTTCTTCATCACTGCCACCGTTGGCAGCCGTATCACGGAGGATCACGCTGTCACTTCCCGACAAGGTCAGCTTACTTACTTGGCTATTGTTGGAAGTGCGGATGCTGGAAAGTGATCCGAAAGAAGGCAAATCAGAAAGCGGCCATGGGATGAATTGCTGCCATTGGCCTATATACATGCAGGTTATTTCTGAACTGCCCCTATTTGGGGACAGAAGGCCTTCTGAAGGGCTCTGCTTCAAGTTCTCAACTGCGGACTGTCATCACAAGACAGAGAGCACGCTCATCAGTTACCACGTGGTTAACTGCTTAGGAGTCTGAGTTTCATCATGCTCTCAAAGTCGGCTTCCATGACTTCACAAGAGCTTCTTCCATGCTTGGAATGGACCACCCACCAGCCTTCTCCCAGCTAGCTTCATTTTTTAATTCTCTATGTGCTATGTCTTCTAGAAAGCCTTCTCTGACATCAAGTCATCACTAGGCTAGTTTAAAATCCCACAGCTCCTTCTGCTTCCCTCTGCTATAGCACTTACCATTTCTTGCTAGTCCTAGAACTCCTCAACAATGACCGTAGTCCTCTATGCATTTCGAGCACACAGCAGATGCTCACTGCAAGTTTGTTAAGTGACTGAATAGAAAAGTACATACAACTAAAGGACAAGAACCACATGATCATCTCAACATACACAGAAAAAACACTTGACCAAAATCTAATACTTTTTCCTGATAAAAACACTCAACCTAGGAATGGAGGAGAACTTCTTCAAACATAAAGGGCATCTATGAAAAGCCCAGAGCTGACATCATACTTAATAGTGAAAGACTAAAAGCTTTCCCCGAGATCAAGCGTAAGACAAGTAGTCCACAGTCACCATTTCTGTTCAAAATTGTACTGGAGGTTCAAGCCAGAGCAATTAGGAAAGGAAAAGATAAAAGGCATCCAGATTGGAAAAGAAGTAAAATGATCTCTATCTGCAGATAACCTGACCTTATATGTGGAAAATCTTAAGGAATATACACACTATTAAAATTAATAAATGATCTTGCAGAATACAAGATCAATATACAAAAATTCTATGTCTATACAGTAACAATGAAAAACCTAAAAGATAAATTAAGAAAACAATCTCACTTATAATACTGTCAAAAATAACACTTAGAAATTTAATAAAATATGTTTAAGACTTGTACACTAATAACTATAAACCACTGAAAGAAACTGAAGACCTAAATGAAACATCCTATGTTATGAACCAGAAGCCTTAATAGTGTTAAGATAGTAATACTCTCCAAGATGACAGATTCAATGCAATCCTTATCAAAATCTCAATTAAACTGACAAGCAAAACCCAAAATTTACACAGAAATGCAAGGGACTCGAAATAACCAAAACAATCTTGAAAAAGAACAAATCTGGATGACTCATACTTCCCGATTTCAAAACTTACTGCAAGGCTACAGTAATCAAAACAGTGTGGCACTGGCATAAGGATAGCTATACAGATCAATGAAATAGTTACGAGTCCAGAAACAAACCATTACATTTATGGTGAACTGATTTTTGACAAGGATGCCAGGACAACTCAATGGGGGAAAAATAGTCTTTTTAACAAACAGTGCTGAGACAACTAGATAATCCACACACAACGGAATTAAGTTGGACCCCTTACCTCAAGCCATACACAAAAACAATAAGACAGCCCAATTTAAAAATAGGCAAAAGATTTAAATAGACATTTCTTCAAGATATACAAATGGCTAATAAGCACATGAAAAGAACGCTCAACGTCATCAGTCATGAGGGAAGTGCAAATCAAAACCATAATGAAATGCCACTTCACATTCTCTAGAATGGCTACAATAAAAGACAATTACGATGTAACGATTAAGAGGTAATGAAACTGGAAGCTTCATACATTGCTGGTGGGATTGTAAGATGACGTAGCCACTTTGGAAAACACTTTTGCAGTTCTCAAAAAAGGTAAACAAAGAGGTACCACATAGCCTAGCAATTCTACAACTAGGTACAAATCCAAGAGAATTGAAAATGTACATCCACACAAAAAGACCTGTACACAAATATTCATAGCAGCATTATTCATGATAGTTCCACAGTGGAATCAACGCAAATTTCCATCAACTGATGAAGGATTAAAAAATGTGGTATATATAAACACAATGGAGTATCATTTCCAACAATAAAAAGGAATTAAGTACTGATATGTCATAACATGGATGAACCTTGAAAACATACTAAGTGAAAGCCAGTCACAAAAGATCATATATTTTATGATTCCACATGTATGAAACATTTGAATAAGCAAATTTACACAGATAAAGGAGGTAAGTTTCTGCCAATGGTTGCAGCAGGAAGGAATAGGGAGGTGATTGCTAATGAACATGAGGTTTCTTTTTGGCAAAAGCAAATCTTCTAAAATGGACTGAGGTGATGGTTGCACAATCCTGAATTGTACACTTTATTTTTTTAAAGGTTTTATTTATTTATTTGACAGAGAGAGATATAGCAAGAGAGGGAACGCAAGCAGGGGGAGTGGGAGAGGGAGAAGCAGGCTTCCTGCGGAGCAGGGAGCCCGATGCGGGGCTCGATCCCAGGACCCTGGGATCATGACCTGAGCCAAAGGCAGACACTTAACGACTGAGCCACCCAGGCGCCCCTGAATTGTACACTTTAAAAGGGTGAACTTTATAGTATGGAAATTGTATCTAAAAAACTAAACAAAACATATTAGGCCAAAAGCAAAACAAACAAAAGTCACAGACAATATAAAACACATAAGCATAGCTGTGTTCTAATACAACTCTATTTACAAAAACAGGCAGTCAGCCCCAGGGCTGTAGTTTGCCAATCCTTATTTTAAACAATCATCAAAAAAAAAAAAAAAGATAAATTTACACATACTGTGGAAGCTGTTCAAATTATGACAATTTCATATTTGAGAATACTGTGTATTTACAGAGTACATTCCTATTTATAAAAATTATCAAGTGACATAAATAAAATTATGTACAATTATATAGATACAAATAGATTGTAGATAAGACAGTTAAGTATAAGCAAAGGAAAAAAGCATAAAATAATATGTACCAAAACGTTTAATCATGGAAGAGGTAAATTTGGAGGGAGGATACTTTCATTTCCCACTTTACACTATCTCATTTACATTATTAATTTATATAAATATATCCTTGCCCATTTTTAGTTCATATTTTTAAATTATTAAAGTAATATATGCTATTATATAGAAAATATCAATAAAAAACAGGTAGGAGGATGAATGCAAAGTGCTAACATAGGTTCTATCTGAGCCCCTGGATTTATTTAAAATTAACTAGTGATTTTAAAATTAGATGTATAGAATTCTGTAGTTCTTTAAATATTTTTTACAATGATCAGGAAATTAAGATTTTCTTACAAAAAAAGAGAAACTAACCAATTTTCAGAGCCACTACTCTATCTGATCTAGGGTCAGGTGAAGACTTTATCCTCCTATCCAGGGAGAAGGTATCTCTATGTCAGTTTGGAAGGAATTATTTGATAAGAGGATTTACTAGGCTTTAAGAAATATACATGGCCAGGGAATGAAGAAAGTCGAGGACTTTCAATAAAGAAGAGTTGTTTTTCTTAATTCCTCACACTGCTTTTTGAAAGCAAAATAGCTTCTTTCCTCTATGACTAACCTTCATGAGAATCTTGTCCCAAGTATTTTTTAACTTACCTAGAATACAAAAGGCAGAGAACAAAGCCTGTCAGCCCAATAAAATTCTCTAGATCTAAAAAATGCCCACTCTTTGAGGGTGGAGCAGGGGTAGGGACTACAGCAGTTGAATTTCCAGGAGCCAAGGTTGGTGCAGTCATGTGCTTAACGATGCTCCACAGGCCAGGGTTGCAGGAACGATCTGAAAGTGTAAAATTTTTTATTATTCTTAGTTAGAACTCCTCTTGTTCCAAGAAAGGATGTGAGGGAAGTGCTCACACATCATTCAGTCATGATGTAAAACATGGGAATGTTATACTTAAAAGAACCTGGAAGCTTAGCAATTAGTTACATATTTGTGTGGCAATCAGTGACTTAGTTTTAGAAGAAAAGACACAACAACAAAGTATCTGTCAAATTCATAAATGTCAATTTTGATTTTACTGATTTTGAAGTTTAACTGGCACATCTTTTTGGGTCTGTAGTTGTACAAAGGCTTTAAGCACAGGGAATTTTTCCCTAGTGTGTTTGTACAGCTAAATAGGAGTACACTAACAGTAAGTGAGTCATCGGTGGAGGGTCTGCAACAACCGTTTTGAAACAAGTCCAGAGAATACCCTATTGAGTGAGACACAATGCAGTCATTATAAAAGGAAATTTCTTTCAGTTTTTTTTTTTTTAGTTTTTTTGTCTAGAGCCTGTAACACCAAAGTGAAATTCAATTACAACAATGCCACAAAGGGCCAAAACAATGTTGCCTTGTCCAACTCTTAACTAGTCTGACTTAGTCCAGGGAAAAGCCTAGACTGTTTAAGGACTGTGGTCCTTTAGGCTGTCAGCTATGAATAGCTACGGACAGACATGGAGAATAAAACTTGAAATGTGAGTATCTGTACCATACGGTGAGCACTGTACATTTAAGTGAGGCTTTTTTGTTTGTTTGCCTGTTTGACATTTGCTCTACCTCTAGTGTTTGCACCTGCCAAAGGAGTAATTGCCTACTTTCTCTCCATCAAATGAATGTGCTCTTGACATCCCCTTACCGGGTTCATTGGACATGGCTGACCAGGTGAGGTACATGGTGTAGAGGGTGATGAGAGAGGACTGCAGGAGACCAGACCGGGGCTGGTGTTCCTGTAGAATCAAACAGAAAACAAGCCCCAGGAACTGCAAGGGCTGACTTCCTAAAGCCCAGCGGATTCCCCTGGGTCCCCCTGAAATGTTATTAATGGAGAACCTTCTGATTCTATTTGACAGCTGAAAGAGGACAAGTAACCTTTCAGTCTGAGTTAGCCTGAGAAAGAACCAAGAAAGAGGACCGTGTACTACTGGTTCTCGAGGCATTTGACAGCCCTGGAGTCCCGCGTATCCCGCAGAGGCTGATTTCCTAGTCCCTTGCTGTCGTAGAAGCTAAGTTCAATGGCAGCGCTAACTAGCTAGGTGACCCATCATCTCTCTGGAACTTCAGTTTTCTCATTTTTGAAAGGAGAGGTGATAGCTACATACTCTTTTCGTATTTCTCACATAAAACTTCATGAATTGGGGCGCCTGGGTGGTTCAGTCAGTTAAGCATCTGCCTTTGGCTCAGGTCATGATTCCAGGGTCCTGGGATCAAGCCTGGCATCACTTGCTGCTCAGCGGGGAGGCTGCTTCTCCCTTTCTTTCTGCCCTTCCCCCAGCTCATGCCCACTCTCGCTCTCAAAAAATAAAATCTTAAAAAGAAAATAAAAAAAAAAAACCTCCATGAATTTTTGTATTTAAATGATGAAACTCACATGCATGAGTTTTGTTTTTAAATATTAAAAGCAACGATTTTCTAGTTTAATCCCCCTAAAACAGCTTGGCTAATGATTTATAAGACTCATTCTCACAACATAAACTATTTTATAACAGCTATAAAATTCTCAGGTTACCTAGTTTTTTTTTTAACGATAGGGAAATTATCCACTGAATTATGATACAGGCACTCAATGGCACATTTTATAGTTACTAAATTAGAATTATGAAGAATTTATCATAATATGGGAAAATGTTTAAGTAGATAAACATAAACTCATATAAAAGGTTACATCAGTTTAGGATTAATTACAAATTTTTCACAGTAGGAAAAAGCAGCAAACCATACCTGAATTTTTGGATGGATGGATATAATAGAAACCACAAAGCAAAGGACCAAGTTAATACTGATGAAGAACTTGTTCTCTGTGCAGCCGTCCGGTCTGGTGTAGTATGTGTAGAGCAAGCCGACAAAGACAACTGACAGAATGTAGCAGACGCTGGTGACAGAGAGCAAAGCTAGAAAGAGGGAAAACAACAGGAATGCTCACAACTGTAACAAACTTCTCTAATGAAGACCAATTTTCTTCTACTCCATATAAAAATAAAGACACATTGTTTTACTGTGAAGGGAGTCAACATTTTACAGGGAAATTACAGAAGACCCAAGGTCAGACAGCGTTAGAGATGGCTCGGTGTTAAATTCTGGCTCGGTGTTAAATTCAAGCAACCGGATTCACTTTCCAGATTACCTACCTTGATTCCATGGGTTGAAAAACCAGACATTTGATCATTCCAGCTACAGTGAACTCTAACTGTATGCTAAACAATGTGCATTATAAGCTTTTCTTAGGAACCTGCAAAACTTGTGGGCCCTCCAACTGGCCCAGTGTCAGCAAGCTAAATGCCAGGGATGGTGTCAGCAGAAACAAGACAGGCATCTTTTATGACATCTGTCCTCTGCAGCCACTGGCTATATAAACCCGCTTCCTGTCTGATGAGACCACATCATTGTGGGAAAGTGGCATATTTGCTATTCTCAAAAACCTAAAATAATATTCCTTTCTGTTCACATGGATAATCAACAATTAGCTATGTAACTCTGAAAATTAGAAAACATAAAAGAGTAACAGTATACTCAGACCAACTGTAGCAATGGTGAGCTCAATTAACTTGTACTTAATTCACGGCACACTTATTTAAGAAAACCAGTTTCTACTTCAAATCTCCATGGGTTCTGCATTTTTAAAATTAAGTGATGTATATTATGTCACTATAAAATGATAACGTATGTTAAAGTACTAGCACAGTTCTTAATGTTTTTCCATATGAATATGCAAGATTTCTCTACTTCTTAGTTACTCCAAAGAATAACAAATCTGCAACTCATTATTAAATTCTTCTAAACTTGAGTGGTTCAAATGAATTATATAAAAAGGAAGTAAATAGATAAAAAATAAATTTTTATCAGTCAGAAATGGGGAGGTGTTTCAGGATTTCCAATCCATCACGATAAAACAATTTCTTAAATCTCATGCTACAACAGTCATTACACACAACTGAAGTGGCCAACAAAATACGGCAATGGTTAAACAACTTATGGTATACCACACCATGGAACTGTATACCATTAAGTGAATAAGATGTATCTACAAGATGTATGTTAGAAAATACTCATTATATAGTTGGTGAGAAAAGCAAGTCATGGAACAATACCTAATATGAATCTATTTACATTTAAATAACAAAACATGTATATGTGCACAAATACATAAAGATCCAGTAATTGTGGTTACATCTGGGGAGGAAAGTGGGTTGCAAGTGGGTGGAGATTTGCATGTTTATTTTTTATTAAGTTCCATCAACTGTGTTTATGGTGAACATAGTATTCGTTTTCAGGGGTTTTTTTGGTTTTGCTTTTGTTATTATTTAAAAAGCAAGCTAGATAAATAACATGAAAAGAAAACTGGACAGTTTGATAATGCGTACTAAAAGCCTTTAAAATATCCATACCCTTCCACTCTTCAACTTCTAGGAATTTATTCTAAGGATAAAAGCAGAAGTGTGCTCAGAGATATATTATTAGGTATTTACTGCTGCACTGTAGCCATATATTCACAGGCTACTTCTAGGTTTTAAAAAAAGTTAAACTATAAGCTATCCAAATGTATGACACATGTAAAAAATTAGTAAGATACAAGTACACATCGTTTTCAATGACTCTTTTTCTATACATAGAAGATACATATGCAAGAAAAAAGACTGGAAAGATATAGACTAATATGTTAACAGTGAGTATTAATTACTAAAGAGTTGGATAATGGGGGATTTGTTTTCTTCTCTAATTTTTGGTTGTTCAAGTTCTTGACACAAGAGTAGCTATTACTTTTATAATGGGTGGGGTGCAGGGGCTAGGAATTTCAACAACTATTTTTTTAAATGAGGTATGGCTGGGTCATTGCCCCTAATAAGTAGAGGATTCCAAAGTCCCTCCCCATTATTACCAGCGATGAGTCCTATTTCCACCCTAGAAATGTTAAGTGCCCCTTTTCCACCAGAAAGCTTTTACAAGGGGTGTGGGCCATACTCTGAATAAAGCAGTAAGGACTGTTCACTTTTATCTGCTTGAGGGATGTGGGCACATGACCCATATGTATAATCCACCTGAGCCCCCTGTCCGTGGAAACAAGGAAATCAAAACCAGAACTACATCATTAAACACAACAGTTTTTTCTTATCTAAACACATCTAGTTACATTACAAATCTCAAAATAAATGAATTGAGAGAAGCCAATGATTTCTATTATCTGTGCTCCCCCCTTCCAGTAACGCATATAATTCAGAACTGAATCAAATGGGAAAGTAGAGTTTTTAAAAAGTCAGCTCTAATTTGGAAGTTTACACATTTAAATCAATGGAGATTTTTATTGTACATCCTGTTTAATATAGCATAATGCAGTATGGCTTTTATAGGTGAGTTTAGATACCTACCAGCATACCAGCACCTTGGATTTCCTTCTTCCATTCGATTTACCCATGATTCATTCCAAGAGTGAGCAAAGTCGACTAACAGCACTAGCTGGATGAGGATGAACAAAAAGGCCCCTACCATGCCGACAATAAACCAGGCTACAAACCAAAAGAACAAAGTTATTCTTACCAAAGGAGTAACATTTCAGAATGTTACTATCCAATTTTAAAACAATTTCAATTGAAGTAAGAGAGAGGTGGTAAAGACATATTCTGTCTCCAGCAGTACAGCAAAAGATTATTCCAATTCTAAACTCAAAGGCATTCTCTAAGAAGTGTTTTGTTGGGGAGCCTGGGTGGCTCAGTTGGTTAAGCGACTGCCTTCGGCTCAGGTCATGATCCTGGAGTCCCAGGATCGAGTCCCACATGGGGCTCCCTGCTCAGCAGGGAGTCTGCTTCTCCCTCTGACCCTCTTCCCTCTCATGCTCTCTATCTCTCATTCTCTCTCTCTCAAATAAATAAATAAAATCTTTAAAAAAAAAAAAAAGAAGTGTTTTGTTGGGCTTCAGACCTTTTAAAATTTGTTCTAGCTTGTGCCAAGGGGAGCCTGGGATTTGACATTCCAAATGGTACAAGCCTTTTCCTTTATAAGGGAAAAAAATCACAGTGGAAATCCACAGATGTCACTTGATGTTATGGTAAGAAAGCATATTAAGGCAGGGACAGCAGAACACATATGAGTTACAGGTCCCTATGTTGACAAGCTCTCAGATTAACTTAGTACTGCCCAAGTGAGAAGGTAAACTATTAAAATATTGGCAACATATCGTTCCAGAACAGCTGAAAAATGGGCTAAATGCCTCCTGGGCATTTAATCAATTTAATTAATTACTTTAATCAATTAATTACTACCTTAATATTACTACAAAGTCATAAAATTGAATACCACCTCATTTAATTGTCAGTTCTGGCAAAACCAGTAATGAAAATGTCGCTTCAAGTCCATCATTTGTAGAGTGTGTATATATTATAATTAACCCTCTTAGTAGTGAGCCATACCTGTGGTGAAATGGCCCCCAGGGATGTAGAAAGAGCCAACCATGATACCAACAATGGCAGCAATTTTGAAGAACCAAAACCTATTAAAATATAAAAGTGCATTTATGAAATGTTAATTTTTGCCCTTATACTGAGAAAAGTGAATTTCTGAAATGCAAAAATAAGGACTCAGTAGCATTCCCAACATGATCGTCTTGTGTTTATTTCTTTTGACATGAAGCTGCTTCACTCAATCTTTCATACAATTTAAGGACAAACACTGGCCCAGAGAACAAATAATTCATAGATATAATAAGAGAAAAACATACAACTTAAGAATTTCCCTACATTTAGCAATTAAAGACAGGAATTTTTCTACAGTTCTGGAGTATTCTAAACTAACAATGTTAGCTACACATAAAGCAATTAACTATTGGATCTAGGGAAAAGTTATCACCTAATCCTTCTTTCACAACATAAGACATAAGTGCCTTGTGCCCACAATCACACAGTTCATCACTGGCAAAGCTAAGACCAAACCTGGCTTTCAGTCCATGATCTTTAAAGACTGCCTTGTATGGCAGCGTGGAAAGAATCAGGCTTTGGAGCTGGACAAACCTGAGTTTCAATCCCAACTCCAACTCTCACTGGCTCAGAGATCTCAGGCACTTTATTTAACCTTTCTGAAATTCGGTTACTGCATCTATAAAAAGAGGATTATAATACACATAAAGTGTACAAACTCCCTTCAGTTTTCAAATGAGAATTATATGTCTAAGGGGAACTACGGGCAGTCAGGAATGGGAAACAATATATTTGTAAATCAGTGGCCCAAATATATCTAGTTTATCTTTCAGTACACTGTTTAATAGATCAGGGATAGTTTTATCTTTTAACAATAAAAAGTATGCATGTTTGTGTGTATGCAGTGCCCAGCACAATCCCTGAACTGTTTCGCAGGTGTTTGATAAAAATCTAGGAACTTGAAACAAAGGTATTAAAAAAAAAAGACAAGATTCTCCTCTTCCCCTTCACCCCCTCTGTGCTACAGAACTCCAACTGAAAATGACATTGAAACAACTTCACAAGTACAACAGGTCAGAAATGTGGGCCACTGATTCAAATACTCTACTGCTTCCATCAGAATGGCAACATTAACTGTTCAAGGGGAGGATCCACACCATAATATAACAAGTAAATAATAAAATAAATTTACATACCCATTGTGTACTGCTGCTCTGGGATCTTTACTTGTTTTTACTTTTAACATGAGCAGAGAGAAGACAAAGAAAAAGATGGCCATGGCAAAGTTGATCCGATATACAGCTTTATAACCGACCAGAACATCACAATCTTTATCCACCTTTCTATCAGCCACATTGATTTTAAACCCCCCTTCACAGAATCCAGGAATCTGGAAAAAGCAATTCCAATGTTATGGGAATATCCACATTTAAACAAAGATTCTATCCCATAAGAAAGCCTGAATTTATACAACTGACTACTTCAACAACTGCAAGACTGTCCTGAGGGACTTTTCTCTTTGCCTTCCCATTCGCTTACGATCTTGTCACCAAATAATATAAACAATTTGCATTTTGCAAATAAAAGTGAAGTGTTCTCTTCTTTGCTTTTCTTGCTGATGAGGTTATCTCCCATCTTGCCATGAATTTTCATGCTACAACTGATTCCTTCCGCAGGTGAAGGGCTAGTCTAGGTCAAATGTTTAAATGTGGAACATACGTGGGAAGACAATGTTTTCGTGCCACTCTTTCAATATCTTTCTCTCAGTTGTTAAGAGTACACCCTGAACATGTGCACTCTGAGTACCTTGATTTCTGGAAAAGGACCAACACTCTCATATTCTCTATCTAGACTGTACCCAAAAGTTATTAAAAAACCCAACAATTACAATGAACTCGACTGAGTTTTACAATGGTAAAGAAATAAGAATGTTAATTACAACTAAAATTGTGCAAAACAGAAAAATAATACAAATGACCCGTACATTAAGGCTACTGTTCCTTCTACTTACCTTCTTCAGCTGTGATTCCATCCCTTCTGTCAGCATGATACAGGATACAGCAGCGCCCAGGAAGAGAATGAAAGCATAGATGAGGCGAGTCACCGTGGAATTCTTACTATTGGGGCAGCAACTACACAGCAGGCACGATGCGCCGCTGCAAAGGCAGGGAACCTGTAAGAAGCACACCACAGCCATCTGAGACCTTGTCAGGGGGCTCCTTCATGTCGTTAAGGGTCACAGAGTAGAAGATGAGGCCAACCAGGCTTTGACGGCTGTAACTGAGAAAGTTATGGGTGGGAGGAAGTGGTTAAAAGCATGGGTTCTGGGGGCACCCGGGTGGCTCAGTCAATTGAGTGTCTGACTCTTGATCTTGGCTCAGGTCTTGATCTCAGAGTCATGAGTTAAAACCCCACAGTGGGCTCTATCCTGGGTGTGGAGCCGACTTAAAAAAAAAAAAAAAAAAAAAAAGCATGGGTTCTGGAGTCAATAATATTTGTGTCACTCTAACTCAGCAAGTTACATAAGCTAAGCTTATTTCTCCATCTGCTAAATAGACTGAATAACGGAATCTTCCTCCCTCAGACATTGCTGTATTAAATGAGTACTCAACACAGCGCCTAAAACATACTAAGAGCCCAATAAATGTCACTTATATTCACAAAGAGCACATTTTATTTAAAAACAATATAAAAACCTAACTCCACTTGCCATATAAGGAATCCTAGTTACCAAATCTGGTATTATAGCATCAAGCAACATTACATGGAAACCTTTACAAATGATGATAAAGAGCTGTTTAGCTCAATTTAAGAGTAATGTGGCAATTCCTCAAAAAAGTTAAACACTAAAATCACCATTTGACCCGGCAATTCCTCTCCTAAACATACACCCAAAAGAACTAAAACAGGTACTCAAACAAAAGCTTCTACATGAACGTTCAAAGCAGCAATATTTATAGTTGCCGAAAGGTAGAAACAACCCAAATGTCCATCAATTGACGAATGGATACATAAAATGTGGTATAGCCACACAATGGAATATTATTCAGTCATCAAAATAAACTAAGTACTGATACATGGTACAACATGGGTGAACCTAGAAAACATCATGCTAAGTGAAAGAAGCCAGACCCAAAAGGCCACATATTGCATTTCATTTATATGAAATATCCAAAATAAGTAAATCCCAAGGCAGAAAGCATTAAAGGTTGGAGGAGGAGGGAGACGGGATGGGGAGTGACTGCTTAATGGTAATCAGGCTTCTTTTCAAGATGAAAATGTTCTGGAACTACACAAATGTGATGACAGCAATGACAGCCTAACACTGTGAATGTACTAAATGCCACTGAATTGTACACTTAGAAATGGTTAATTTTATGTTATGTGAATTTTACCTCAATTGAAAAAAGAGAGTAACCTGGCTCTCTGGTGAGCATTTCAGATGAAGGCATAATCTGAGTTGCTTTTTTTGTAAGCTTAACTAGGAAAGTGCTTCAATTGCTTTCACAGATGACATTAAGTGACATTACAAAGGCAGGCTAAGTCAGAATCATCAGCAGAAGCAGCAGATGTAAATAATGGGGGATGCTGGCCTCACAGTATGGTCCCAGTCTTTACTTTTATAGATGGTACCTTGGGTGGACTTTACCATGGTTTTGTGTGATTTGGAGCAAGATGCTAAGCTTCTTAAAAGCCCAATTTTCTCATCTGTAAAAATGGGCGTTAACACCACCTGAACGGTTACTGTGTGAAGAACAACCCAGCGTCAGGAATCTATAGCACCTGGCATAACGCCTGGCACAGCACAGGCTCTCGATATATCATGGTAGCCGTTAACATCTGTAACTGCAGCAGCCATGGTAAATTGATCACCCGGCTTCAGTCTCCAATTCTTAACTACAATCTGGGCCAAAAGACCATAATAGAGGTCTATAGCTGGCTGCAGACAGAAACAGAGGTTTTACAGCCAAAAACAATGACACTAATTGCTTCATGTTTATTTTGTCTGCATTCTCACACTCCTAACTCTTTAGCTATTTATTTCCTGGCCTATTAAATAATCTCATAATAACTGCCTACTGTTTGTTATGGGTTGAACTGTGTCCCCCCCCAACCCCACAAATTCATATGTTGAAGTCCTGATCCCAAGTACCGGAGAGTGTGACCTTATTTGGAAATAGGGTCACTGCAGATGTAATTAGCTAAAATGATGTTATACTGAAGAGGGGGCACCTAATTAAAAATGACTGGTGTCATAAAAAGGAGAAATTTGGGCACAGACATGCAGCACAGGGAGAACACCAAGTGAAGACAAAGGCAAGGAATATCAAAGACTGCTAGCAAACCACCAGGAATGGGGAAGAAGCATGGAACAGATTCTCCCTCATCACCCTCAGGAGCCAACCCTGCTGACACCTTAACCTTGGACTTATATCCTCCAGAAACTGAGAGACAACAAACTTCTGTTGCTTGAGCCACCCAGTTTGTGGTATTTTTTTTTTTAATCTACCCTAGCAAATGAATATACCACTTACTTGTTTATAAATATCACGAAAATGTAAGTGCCCTTAGGAGGGACCACCTACTATTATCTCTCTTGCGATCTGTGGAACAGAGCTGTCCTACTATATGTTACGTCACTTCCCTATCTCAGTAAGTAACAATTCTATTCTTACTCAGGCCAAAAACCTTGGTCATCCTTGACGTTTTTCCTTTTTCCAAAACTCTCATCCAGTCTGTCAGCACATCAGCTTTATCCTCAAAATATATCCAGAATCTGGGGCACCTTGCTGGCTCAGTTGGTAGGGCACATGACTCTTGATCTCAGGGTGATGAATTCAAGGCCCATGTCTGGCATGGAGCCTATTTAATTTTTAAGAAAATAAATATAATATAACATAATATAATATAATGTAATAATAAAATAAAACATATCCAGAATCTGACCACTTTCTTAGCATCCTTAGCTATCATGTTGGTCCAAGTCACTACTATCATCTTTCACCTGGATTAAATACAATGGCTCCTGTCTCACTGTTGTAGCCACCCAATCAGAACCCAGAGTTGGTATAAAGATTATTTTAAGATGAAGACATCTGAGATTCAACAGATACAGGGAAAAAAGGCTTCTTGGAGCTTTCCTCATCTGGCTTAAAAGCAGCAACTTCTCGGATGTGAGGCTGCCGGATGTGAGGCTGCCGTAAATTCTCTTTCCAAGAGAGTTTTATGGACATGAAAAAGACAAAAGACCTATGCACCCACATAAACAAGGATTATCACAAACTTTCTTATCTCCTCTTTGTTCTTCCTAACTAGAAGCCCTTTTCTTTTCCCCTATTAAGTAAGGTATATAATAAGCCCTATTTTCTAACCATCTCTTTGAGTTATTCATCACCGAATGATGAATAACATCCTGCAAGTATGTGTTTTGCATGTGTACACAGTTCTTTTTTCTCTTGCTAATCTTTCTTCACTTTAATTCGTAGGCCCCCAACAGAGGAGGCCTAACCACTAACCCCACAGAGGATACAAGCAAAATTTTTTCTCCTCTACACTGCTTTACCCTTTCTTTTCTACAATCTGTTCTCCAACAACCACCTTGTTAAAACACAGGTCAGATCACATCACTCTTTTCTTTTCTATAATGGATCCCCACATCACTTAAGAGGAAAAGCCAAAGTCCTTAAATTGGCCTACAAGACCATACAATGGGTATCTACATGATTTGGCTCCCTGCTACCTTTCTGACTTCATTTCCTATTATTCTTCCCCTCACTCATCCCATCTCTGGTACACTGCATTCCTTGCTATTCCTGTTGACAAAAGGGATTAATAAAATAGAAAAGCAATTTACAGATAAAAATGCTTTGATGGCATCAATTCAAATATTAACATTACATCAAAGGCAAAATGTGTTTCAGGTTATTAGGATAAGACAGACATCTTTGTTTCAAATTACAAATTCATTCCTTTTTTTTTTAAGATTTTATTTATTTATTTATTTGACAGAGAGATAGCACAAGTAGGCAGAGCGGCAGGCAGAGGGAGAGGGAGAAGCAGACTCCCCACTGAGCAGGGAGCCCGATGTGGGGCTCGATCCCAGGATCCTGGGATCATGACCTGAGCCAAAGGCAGACGCTCAACGACTGAGCCACCCAGGCGCCCCACAAATTCATTCCTTAACTAATTCCCTTCTTAACTATATATTTTTTTCTAAATCTACTTTGCAAATAGTCTGACCCACTTGTGGACTGTAGAATTCAACTTACCAGGATTTGTTCTAATGTGATAGAAAAATTGTACAGCAGATGATAAAAGTAAAAATTATGTCACAAAACTTGTGTCTAAATGGGCATATTAAATCAACCATGTAAAATATATTTCTTACTTTGGGTCAAGGTCAAAAAAATGGAAAGCCACAGCTCTCAAGGAACCTGTAAATGACCAAACACCCTTTTGATTTAGGATCAACAATCTTTAAGAACGGAAAATACACTTTGTACTCCGTCCCTAAGAAATGGTAGTGGAACGAGCTGAGATTGAGTCCTTGGTCAATTAAATGAGGAAGTTATGCGACAAGAAGTGATTTTAAAGAATCATGCTCTTCAGGAGCAAGTATATGAGGGAACTCACCTATTCTCTTCCATAGATCCTAAAATTTCCTTTTTAAAATACGGCGTTTACAATCTACAAAGCGATTCAACCCGTTTATTCACTTTATCCTCACAGCAGCTCTCAAGGTGAGGAATGCTGGGGTGATTAGCCTTATGTTACGGGAAGCCAGAGATAAATGTCTTGGACAAGGTCCCCAAATGTTCACGCCATGGCTTCCAATTTTGAATAATAATCCACAAGGCCTTCTTTCCTTTGCACAACTGCACACAAGCCTCGGTTAAAATCCCAGCTCTGCCACATACTCTGTAGCATCGGGAAATCCATTCTATGGGATAAAAATATCACTTAAGCCACCCCAAATTAAATGACGCCACCTTAATGAAGGTACTTCGAAATGAAGCAGAGCGCGCTCGCCCCGGAACTCTCATTCCGCGGTCCAGATTCCAGCTCCAGAGGAACCCAGAGGCAGGAAGCCTCGCGGGGGCGGGGCAATCGAAATTGTAAACAATGACGGCCTGGCCTCCTACGTTCCCCCCACAAACCCGGAAGGCGAGCCGCCCGATCCCCATGAGGGCGGGGGGGGGGGTGCATCACTGATTGTGGTATGCGCCCCCGGATACTCTCTGCAGCCCAGGGCCCGTCCCCCCCAAGCCCCGGGCCAAGGCCCGATCGCGTCTGGGTTTGGGGCTCCCTATCGCCCTAGCCCAAACGACACGTCCGACGGAGACACCAGATCCCGAACTCACCCAGCTGGCGAGGGAGAAGACGCCCAGCACGGCCCCCATGGTGACGCTAGTGATGCAGGCGGCCGGTCCGGAGGCTTCTAGCACGGTGGTAACTGCCAGTCGAGGTGTCTCCTCAGAAACGCGACGTTTTCTCAGGCCGGAAACGCGCGGGTGGCGTCATTGCGTGGCCCCGCCCACCGCCCTCGGCCGCCGCTGCCAAGAGAGCCGCTGTCATTGGCAAAGGTAGAAGGCGGGGCTAAATCAGCATCGAGCTGAGGGAGAAGGTGGAGCTAAGCCGACCAGGCTCTAAGGGGGAGGCGGGGCTAAGCCGGCCCAGAGGGGAGGGAGGAGGCGGGGCTAACTCAGCCCGGCGCGGAGGGAGGAGGCGGGACTAGCCCGGCCCGGCGCGGAGGTGGGAGATGCGGCTAAAGCGGCCGGGAGGGGCGGGAGCTGTGAAGGCTTTATTCCTTCACCTCACTTGTATTCACTTGGGAGCCCGTTATGTGTCGACATCTGAGGTACAGAAGTGCACAGGAATTTACGGCCTACTTAAAAAAAAATTTCCTAATTCCCACCTACTTAAAAAAGGAGTCTGACACTGAACATACATGCACCACGACACGTTGTGATGAGTACCATGAAGTAGTATGAGGGAATATCCTTTCAATAAAAGTTTCTTTAATGCTTGCTATGTGAGGAGAAAATAATGTAGCTGGGGCGGGGGGAGTAATCCCAGAGGGGTGTTCTGAGGAATTTATATTTAATCTGAGAACCGAAAGACGAGTCCAAGCTAATCGGGGAAGGATGGGTGTTGTTTCTGAAAATGAGGGGTATACACCCCCCTCGGGGTACACGAAAGGGCCTCGGGGTGCATGAACGCATTAGGTAGCACTGAACGGCAGAGTCAGAAAGCCCTGTTTCAAACCAAAGAGAGTTTGAGACTAGTACTTTACTTAACGTGTTTCTAACATTTGCTTATCTCCATTTTTGACAGAGTGAAGGCTTCATTTTCCAAATCTCTCCAAAAGGTAAGCCCATCTACCGTTAAATAACATTGTTTTGTTTTAGGGTTTGTGTGTGTGCTTGCAGAAGTTCTTTGATTTCTCCCAAGCAGTGTTACTGAACCCCAAAATGGGCTGCCCGTCGTCGCTCCAAAGGTCGATACTCGAGAGATGAGTTTTGCTTGGAAAGGAATAGGAGCTTTGTTCAGGAGGCTGGCCACCTGGAGAGAAGGCACACTCTTGTGCCAAAGTCCAACTCCGAGGTTTCTGCCTGGCCCAAGGATTTATAAAGGGGTTTAGGGCAGTTAATCAGTAAAAGGATTGCGGTGGCCCCAACATTTCTTGATTACGTGCAGACTCCATGGTGCCGGCTACAAACGTTAATGCGGTGCTCAGAGGTTGGGCAAAGGAGTCTGGCTCCTTAGTTCCCGGGGTTTGTGCAAGAGGGTCTGGTTTCTGTTTTGCGAGGTGCAGAAGTGCGCTGTTCTTTATAGGAAAGAATGCACGATCTATAGACACACAAGGAAGGGTTAGTTAATCAGTCATTCAGGCTCAGGGTGTTTGCTGAAGTTTAGATTACTGGGTTGGCTGGAGGGGCCAAGGCAGCTTCAGCAATGCTGGTTTTCCATTTAAGAAGTGATGTAAATTTTACTTTGTAAATTTAAGTAAAAACTAAGGGTCTATTTAAAGAAAAAGTTTTGAGAAGTGATTCACATATCTACATAAAAGTGCAGGTGGTGTGCAGATAATGGCAACAATGATGAGACTGTTAAACAGATGACTAAGAAGGGAACATTTACCTGGGAATATAATAACCTGTAGAGTTTGGAATCCTAGAATATTTAGATTGGAAGAAGCCTTAGAAATATATTTGAGTCTGTTTTTTTACAGAAATGGAAAAAGGCTCGAAGTGGAATGGTTTACTCCAGGCCACAGAAAGGGTTGATGGCAGAGGAAGGAGAATTACTCAAGCTTTCCTAATTCCCACCTGAGTCCTTCACCCCACCACCCCCCAACCCCTACCACCAAATGCCTGCCCAAGTCAGGTTGCTTTGCGATCACTGGAAGTAACCCTTCCAGATGATCCTTAAAATCCTTATGTCTTCCTGTTTGGGTACTGCTGGACTGGGTCGAAGAAGGTTAAGACTATGATAAAGTCCACGATCAAATCCCATCAGGAACATTTCTGTACTCAAAAAAGAATCAGATTTATTTAGCTCGTTCAGCAAGGGAGAATTCACATCAGAGAAAACATGAGGTATCTTGCTAACAGAGAATTGGGAAGAGCTTATTGTAGGATTTGGGTTTGTGCTGGGTATCTGTAAGGAGGGTTTAAGCAAGTGGGGAACAGTTTTGAATTGGATACAGTCAAGAAGCAGGGGCAATTCAGTGGTTAGCTATCTTACTGTTTTACCCAGGAGGCGGGAGGATTGAAGTGGGGCCAGAGTTCTGATTGAGAAGGAAGCAGGACACACTCATGTTAGAAGAGGAGGATGTTGTCATTATTTGTGGTTCCACAGTGGCCTTGTCCTTGGCTTGTTCCAACGACAGAGTGGCCTTGTCTGATATTTGTTTACATTCTGTGAGCGCTGTTTAAGTTCAGTGAGGAACACTGGGTCTAGCTGGCAGCTGAAAAAGTTTCATTTTCTCGTCTGTATCACTGTGGGATCCTGCCCATCTCTCAGGGTTTTTGACCCTAAGTGTTTGAGTGTTCCTCCTCTAGGTGGCAAAAGTGGGGAAAGTGGATCATTTGCTCCAGTTTCCCACCTCATGCGGGAACCCCTCAGCAGCATCTCCTCTAGGGCGGGGAGCTCACTGCCAACCAAGGCAGCCCCTCCTATTTTTACATGTTGATTGTCAAAACTAGGTTGTTTTTTCCCCTGTAAGGGGGGAAAGTTTTCCTCTACCCTCTAGGTTCAGAGATGGGGCTGGGGAGGCCTGGAGGCTTTTATAGTATTCTGACAAAGGATGATAAATTTTAAATTTGTAGAGAAACGATAAGACAATGAAAAGGAGTTTAGGCTATTAGGGAAGCAGACGACTGTGGGAAGGTAAATACAAGGGAGAAACTAATGGAAGATAAGGATTGTGTTAGTAAGGTGTGTATGTAGATTCCTCTCGCTGATAAAAGCCTGGAGTTAGTGATCTCCTGTGATTAATTTCTGCTCTTCCGGATGGAGAGGAGGGGAGCAACACCTTCACACACAGAAATTCATAAGGTCGAGAACAGAGAACTTTACTGTGTCTACTTCTCAGATGTTTTCAGCTCAAAATAATCCTTATGCCAAAGTGGCATATTCTGATTCGTTACATTCGTATATATTGTTTGAATAGATAATACAGGTACTTGGTTTTTAGAAATACTGCATAAAAGAACATACAGTGAAAATGTATCATCTTACCCCCTCATCTCCCAGATCTCTTTCCAAAGTTCATATATGCATATGCCAGTATTATATGTATTATGTCATTCCCTTTTTACATGTGATAGCATTCCAACCACATAGTGGTGCATGATTGCTTTTTTCACTTAACTCCTTTCATTTATTCAATAAATATTTACCACACTCTTACTATGTGCCAGGCAGTTCCCAGTGATGAGAAAGCAGCAGGGAACAAAACAAAATGCCTGCCCTTAAAAGAGCTTCTGCTATAGTGAAAAGAGACAAATAAGCAAAGATAAAATGTCAGATACTGACAGGAGCTATGAAGAAAAATAATAAAACAGGCGAGGAGAACACAGAGTTGGTGGGGCTCTGCTATTTTAAATAGAGTAGTCAGAGCAGGTGTTTTTGAAGACCTGATATTTGAGCAGAGATACTAAAGAAATGAGAAAGCAAGCTGCAGCGATATCTGGAGGAAGAGTGGCCCTAACATGGAACAGCAAGAGGAAGGGCCATGAAACAGAAGCATGTGTTAACAAAATTCAACCAAGTAAATTTGAAGATCTAATTGGCTTTATTAAGTGATTCTTCAATCCAGTAGCACCCATCTAGCAAGTAGAGAGGCACTGCAAGGAGTTGTACAAAATGGAAGCTTTTATAGGAGAGTGAGAGCAAGAAAGTTATTAGCAAAAGAAAAGGATTTTTCTAGGCAAGGCCACTTTCTAGGGGAAAAGCAAGTTGTCTTATCATGCAGATTATCTTGTCCTTCTTCCGGGGGATGGAGAGGGCCCCGGTGCCCGACCCTTTGGTGAGGACTGAAAAATTCCTGGCTGACTGATTAAGACTGTATTTCTGGGGGAGGTTGAAAGTGCGATTCGATTACACTGGTATCTATACAAATGGTATTGAGCACCATTTGGGAATTCTAAATACCACCATTTGGGGCCTGTGTTGTTGTTTTTTATTGTTGTTGTTGTTGTTGTTTTTAAACACATGCTACCTAAAAACAAGGCCAGTGTGGCTGGAGCATAAACAAGAGGGAAAATGATGAGAGATGAAACTGAACATGGTAACAACTCTGGATTTTACTCTTAAATGTGATGGGATGACTGTTGAAAGGTTTTGAGCAGGGGTAAGGACATGATCATGCTCACATTTTGAAAAAAGGACATTTTGGCGCCTCGGTGGCTCAGTCCTTGAGCATCTGCCTTCCGCTCAGGTCATGATCCCAGGGGTCCTGGGATCGAGCCCCGCATCGGGCTCCCTGCTCCGCGGGAAGCCTACTTCTCCCTCTGCCCCTCCCCCTGCTTGTGTTCCTGCTCTCACTATCTCTCTCTGTCAAGTAAATTTAAAAAAAAAAAATCTTAAAAAAAAAAGAAAAGGACATTTTGGCTGCAGGGTGGAGAACAGACTGGGGGCAGGGTTGGGTAAGGTTGGAAGTAAGAGTAGAAGCAAAGACTAGTTAGGGAGACCACTGGCGTAAGCGTAGCTTGAAGATAGGTCTTTATCGAAACTATATCCACATCTATGTCTACTTCGGTCTCTCTTAATTCTTGCCGTAGTAATTCATTTTATGGGAGCAATGGATATCCTTTGTGCTCACCTTCCAGTATATCTGCATGATTATTTCAAGAAATACAATTGCCGCTCAGAAGTTAAAGTAAACTTGCCATATTGGAATGAAATCTGATGATCTAATTCTCACCTTGAGCCCAAAGAAACAAGTTTATTCATTCTTTGCCACACGACCCCGTCTGAGAGTAAAGGGAAACGCATCG